TACATGGGGACAGTGTAGAAGGAGGGCCATCTATGGTGGCAAAAAATGAGTCTGGTAGCTAGTCATTCTGAAGGTCTCTAATAGCTTTAAGATGGTTAATAGGCAATTTCTGAAAGTGATTAGAAAGCGAGGTTTGTTAACTTGGTGTCCTTTAAAAGCCTCCGATGTGATTGCAAGCAAAATGACTGATCCTGTTGTCTCCTTGTGCTCAAACCTGCGGAAAACCACTGTCCTGTGGTCTCCTTGCAAGGAGCAATTGTCCAGAGCATATGCAGGCAATCTCCCATCCTCTCCTTATCTGGAGAGGTTCCAAGGAATCAGTCTGCTCACTGGTTCCTTGGTCTTTGCCGTGGTAGTCCGCTCCGCTTTTGCACAGCCATCTTTAGTTCACCATACCTCTTCCAGAAGTCCCATGTGTTCAATAAATGTTGAAATGCTAATTCATGACTCTACCCTGAGCAAAAAAAATATTAAAACACTTATTACTTTACAATTAGTTTGTTTGTGGAGAAATCTGTTCACACCACACCCCTTAAAGCCAATGCTTGCTTCAGGAAAATAACATTTTCTTCAAAGCTATAGCAGGAAGGAAAGAGTTATATTGCACTTTAACATCAGCTGTGACTCCAGTATCAACCCCCACAACCAATGCCATTTTTGTTTTTTAAAAACATACCTTAACAATTTGGCAGAAAAATAAAAAGGGATCCACATTAGAAAAGAATGGGAATTTGACTGAGATTTTAAGTTTGTATCAATCCTCTTAGCATTAATATCTGAGCAGTAAATAAGCATTCACTTATATCATTACTGTGAAAAGGACAAAATATCCTTCTCACATCAGTCCACTGTTTTTCTTTTTTGCTGGCTGTTAATGTAAAGGCTGACCTGCGCTTCCTTCTTGCCCTGGTGCAAGAAAGAGCCACCTACTCTTTGAGGCCAGGAATGGATGGTGTCCTCCTCAGCCTATCCCTAGCCTGCTGGGAAGGTGCCCTCCCCCCGAGCTTTCTCACTCCATGTCAAGCAGAGCAGTCCTGCCCACCAGTTGTGCTTCATTCTGTCCTACCCAAATGCCTCTCTTCCGGTTGGCTGGTCTGTGCTGGGCAGACACACTCCCCCTGGCCTCCTCTCCCCTTCCCCCCACCACACAGTCTCTGCTTTTGGCAGCCATTTTGTCCTGGGTGGGTGCCTGCCTGCCATGAAAGCCTGGATCTTTTCTTTTTTTACAGGATCAGTAGTGGAATGGTAGAAAGCTGGCCACTTCACTGGGTGAAATTGACAAGAGTTTTGCCAAGTTGTCTCTTCTAGCCCAAGTGACAGGGAGATTTATTAAATTGTGGGTTTGGTTTTTTTCACCAGTCCTCAAAAGAGCTGCCCACAGAATGGAAAGCAATTGGGGCTTGCTTTTCTGGCACGGGTGGGAAGGTAAAAGAAGCAGGGGAATCCACCCTAGGAATGTGTTAACTGCTGTCCAACAGAATGTCACTGTGGCCAAGGTGGAAGAAGGGGTGAAATCTGGAAAAGGATTTCTTAAGCTGGCTTCATTTTCAGCAGGGTTAGAAGCAACTGAAGGCTCTGTATGGAAAGCCCTAAATTTTATCAAAAGTAGTTATTTAGTTATACATTTCAAATGGATATGTTGGTGTGGTCTAATCAAGTTTATTCTCAAAATCATCTGATCTGTATGTAATGATTCTACCAAGGATATGCATGCAAAATCGTTGTCTGCAAATTGACATTATTGAAAGGAAGAATTTTCACAATCAGGGTAATCAATTTTTAAAGCAAATTTTATTGTGTCATTTTGTACTCAGACTCCTGCATATAACCACCTTCCCTATATCCCCCTGCAAATGATTAAAAGTACACATAAAGGAACATATTACGAACTATTTTCCATTTCTTTTGAGGTTTGCATCTATAACATACAGTATATACTGCATTTGAGTTCTACCAAAGACTGTATATTCCATTAGAAAAGAATATCTGTAGCTCAGGGTTGAATTGTGTAGTCCTTGGTGTTCTCTGAGCTTGCTTGCTTGCAGATGTTTCGTTACCCAACTAGGTAACATCATCAGTGCCTGACGTTCAGCACTGAATGTCATTAGCACTGATGATGTTACCTAGTTGGGTAATGAAACGTCTGCAAGCACACAACCAAGCTCAGAGAGCACCAAGGACTCCACAGACTGTATATTCCTTTTGGAGCTTGCTTACGTCCTAATAATTCAATCCCACGTTCTTAAAATTGTGTTTTGGCCAGGATAGTGGAAACTCTTTGTGATTGATTTATCAGTGAGGTAACTACTTGAAAATTGAAGCATGCGTTCCTTCAGAGATTGATGCTCCAAGAAAGATTTTGTAACCCCAATAATAAAGGAGTGTAAAATTATAGCTCACACTCTAGTCATGTATTCAACAGAATAAAATGCTTTAATTCTTTACCTCAAAGTTTTATATGCCTTGGAAGAATTCCATATTTGAGGTGTTATCCTGGAAAGGCATCTGTCCCATAGCCTCACCCGCCAAATCTCTTTTGGTGGTGGGACATTTAATACAGCCTCAGAAGAATATACTTTATGGGCACTATTATTGCAGGAGGTGATGTCTTCTCCTCAAGCTGTTTCCGGTTTTATAGGTGACTGGCATCTTGAATTGGACTTGGAAACAGATCAGAAGTGAATGCAATTGATATAAAGACAAATCTATTCTTTGTAAAATGCAAGCCCCTCTACTTTATCATTTTTAAGGGGAGGTTTTGTGCATGCTAGTGTGATTAACACCCCCCCACACACTCTTAACCCCTCTCTGCTGTTGTGTAGAAAAGCCAGGAAGACCTGGCTCTTCCCCCAGGTCTTTGGCAAGGGAAAGGGAGACCCCTGGCTTTGTTTCCATTGGGTCTGTCATTCTTGCCACCTTTTTTTCCCTTCTTTTTAATTGGTTTTATTATAATATCTTTGTTATGATTGTTGTGAGCCGCCCAGAGTCACTGGGAGTGAGGCGGCAAACATGTTTAATCGTCAATAAATAATTAAAATTCTCGGAAATAAATTACCATTATGTCAGAACAAGTTATAAACTAGAAATGGAAGATCATTGTATTCCTGGAGAATAAGAGCATTCACTACAATTTAATAAATGTAATAAATTTTATTTTAATAAATAAAATAACATGTATTACATATTTTCTGCAATATTCTATATGTAGATGAAACATTCTGTTCTAATTTGCAAATACTGTGTGTGCTTTCCCTTCCACCGACTTTTTTCAAACGTTATCTAATGAGAAATGAGCTTTTGATGCTTAATTATATTAAACAATTGCTTACAAAATTAACATTTTTTAAAAAATATCTTGTCTTACAGCTGTGTCACAACCAGATGGAAGTCCCCAAAGTCATCCAGTGGGAGGCAGTCAGCCTTTGCCACCAGGAAATATACCAGTGCAAGAAGCAGCTGCTAGATCTGATCATGTCCAGTCTCACCCTTAACCACTTGTGCCTCAGTTTATACCACATTTTGGGCGTGGGTGGGTGACATAATCCAAGACTAAAAAGAAATGTGGAAAAAAAGGATAATTTTAAGCTCCATTTCAGATGTGGGATTCATAAAGGCTTAAAATCCAAATTCAGTGTGAAGACTTTCAAAGGCACAAATGATATAATACAGGACCTTAAAGTTGTGGATATTCTAGTTTTCTCAGTACACCTAAGTAGACAACAGGATATCTAACTTTTTCCCCGCAGAACCTTCTTTTTGTCTCAGGTACAATTTGGCTGCCTATCATTTGTGCTTTCGAAAATCTCTTCCTGTTTCATCTTTAAATCATTACCTATAGAGATATTGTCAAAAAGAAAGTTAAGATGAGCAGACCCCTTAAATTTCCTGATGTTCACTATGTTGACATTCTCCGTTGCCAATGGGTTTAAAGCTGGAGAAGTTTAGAACTGGTCTGAGCAAGAGGCTACACTTCTATCCCTGTTTTAGTTCATGTCAGTATGTTCCTAAAAGTGCCAACAACTTAGAGCTGTAATTTTATGATTGTAGACTGAGGGAGTTGTAACAATTCCTTTGGTTTTCAAGATCTATTGAAAAGAAACATCTGTGATCTGATTTCAAAAAAAATCTACTTTTTAAAAGCAGTGTAATTGCAACAGGGAGCAATGGGAAACAGTGAATGTATTTTCTGTTTATAAATGCCTATGAATATTAATGTAAGAATTCTTCACACTGAAATGCTGTGCTTGAAGTGCATTGATTTAGCCATCTTTATTGTTGCTAACTAAATGCAGTTCATCCCTGCATGTTGGCTGCAAAGAGGGTACTTTTCTCCTCCTCCTTTTTATAACATGCCAGTTGCATTTATCTATGAACTATGAAAGGAAGCTCTTTAGATGGCGAAAAGTATTTTTGGAATTAACAAAGACCTTTCATTGTCTTTTCTTTCTTCATAAAAGGTTCATTTCAAAATCATCACTGTGTTTCAAACATCTGTCAGAAACTGCATTTTGAATGTTAAGTTGAAACACTTAATCATATTACATTATTAGATAGGACTACGAAGGTAAAAGCCGTGCATGTAAACATTTTCTATCATTTTAACACAAATAGGAATTTCCAGTTCCTTACAGATGAAACCCAATTTATTATTTCAACTTAACTCTTAAATGCATTTTTTCTTCCTGTGTTACACTGACTTTGATTTGATTCAAGTACTGTTGAAGTAAATGGAAAGGTTTGCAGTCTAAATTCTCTTCAATTCAGAATAAGACTTAAAATCCAGATTCATTTCCAATATCATACTTTGTGACTGAAGAAGGGATGATTAAAAAATAACACAAAGCTATCTTGTTACTGAAAAATTGTAATTATTTTTATTTCTGGGAAATGGGACATAATCTGTAATATAATTATTTATATAGGGTTTCAATAAATCAGAGTTTTTTTATATAAAATGAAAAACAGCTTCTCTCAATCGAAAAATTAGGGGAGAAGAAAGTTCTCACAACTTGCTTCCTATAGTTAGAAAGATAACAGTGGAAGTTTTTTATGCAGCCAGCCTGTGGTTAGGCTTGTGAATGGAGTTTCCCTTTTTTTTTTTTTTTTTATATACCCTAACTGGATACTTCCATTTGCTTTCCGTAGTTCTAGGATATATTGCATGGCACATGGCAGCCAAATGGAAGGAACCACTGGCAACTCAATGTTGAATGAATTCTTATTTGGATTATGCAGCTGTGGCCCAAAAGAATATTCATGGCTTAATTCTTATTTATTTATTATACAGTAGACCCCGCTAGGCAATCAACAGAAACTTCCACAGAAAGGTTCCCTGTTTTCTAGAGACAACAGCTTGAACACATATTGTGAACCTTGCTTGTGGCTTACCTAATATGACTGATAAAAGGTCTCTTCTATCTTTTGTTTGCAATTGTGCAAATTTTTATAGCTCTATTAGCACTCTGTCCTTTACTTTTATATGGTATTCATCCCTTTGCTTTAAGTTATAAATACAATCAAATGACAAAGAAATGGATAATGCACAATCCAGTCCCAGTTATTGTATTTTTCAATTTGCTTCAAAAATATTCAGATTACAAATGTCTTATTTTAAGTGTCCTATTCTGAATAGTATTCTGAGTAAAGTTTGCAAAGAGAGATGGAGTATGATCATCCACAGAGGCCATTGAAACTATTCACAGAAAGGGAAGCTGACAAGTAGAAATGGGATGATGTTCATCCCAACTGTTAAATCGATTGGAATCTTTGAAGTACTATAATGCCTTGTATAGCTTGGGGGCTAGTTATAAGGGAAAGTAACTTTCACAGCACAATTTCACATTGGATACTTTCCACCTGTATCTCAATTATTGTTAACTAAATTTGATAGTGATTGGATTTAGAGCAGTGAAGAGGGGAACACCATGAATTAGATACGTCTTCAGGTAGAAGAGGAAGAATCAGATGTTCCCAAATTATCTCCTCTTCACCCCTTCCCAAGATCACCCACCCAACTGTGAAAATCACCATCCCACTTGCCTTTCCATCAGGAGCCCCTGGCATTTCATTTCTAAGGCATTGTAAGATAAATTATATACATTTGTTTTTAATGCAATTTACTTTCAAGTGACACATTTCTGGTGGTGGCCAATTTATCATGGAAGTGGTTGGCTTATGATGTTATCAGGTTTCCTCCTCCCTGGACAGCTTCATTTTGAAACTTATCAGGACAAAAATACCTTGGATGTAAAGAATGGCAAAGTTGTACATATCCATATGCTCTCAAGTGCAATATTTGTAAGAAGAATGTTGTTCCACTTGTGCTTTGTATAATTTTTAATTGGATTAAATTGAATTCAAACTCAATTTCTTTGGTTATTACTTGCCGTCTTTTTCTTACAGTGGCTGTATGAATGAGAAAAAAGTATCTCAAAAGCATGTAGAGATCATAAATAAGGCTTTTAAAAAAATGATGGTGTGTAACTATCAGCATATAGTATACAGTCTGTTTCTTAAACTTCTATAGCCCCTCCTTTTGTAATACTTCATGGTAACAATAGCTAGATGGTGGTTTAACATTAGATGAAATTAAAACCATATACATATATATGAAGCTCCAGTCATACTCTGGAACTCTGCTCAATTTTTATCCCAAGCGTATCCCAGGATGATTATTATGCAAACAAAACTTGCAAGATAACATCACCCACATTTATTCTTAACTAAATTGAGTCATTTATGAAATTTATTTGTCAGAAATAACCATGTACAACTTACACATTTTTAAAGAGGTTCTCTAACTCCGGGAAGTACAGAAATAATTTCAAAATCATACAGCCCTTTCACCCTTCAGATAGAACAGTTACCAGATACCAGGACTTTTGCTGTTTTTGAGTATTTTAAAAACTCTTTTCAATCAATTCCCCATTTTTTCCTTCAGCATTTAAAATATGCATAACCTAACTTGGTGTCTATCAGGTTTTGTTACTGCAGTGTTTTGAATCCATTTCCTACTTAAATATTTAAGAAAGAAAGCCTAATTGTGCTTGCTTTTCCTAATTTTTGATCACCTGAAATACATCCCAATGTCCCTTTGACTTTTCTTCTTTCTTTTAATTACTCCCCAAATGTAAACAATCTTGGGTCAATTTGTTTAGTTCTTTCTCTGGGCAGTTCAGGGAGATGCCAGAGAAGTTCTGGTGGGCATCTTTTTCTGCATCCCTACTATAGGGAAATATCATGTTCAGTCTGCTCAAAGAAGGATAATAGAGGTAGAAGATAAACGACCATTTGTACAACAAGGTTCTAACTCCCACCTCCCCCAAAATGGGAAAGTTTTCTAACAAGGTTTTTATTAACCCATTTTCCTACCTTATTCACAAAATGTTTATTGGTGACTTCCATTTATGAAACTTGTTTCCCCTCCAGCCAACACTCATCTTCCCACACCACCCATATAAAATACCTTAAAGAGGAAAAGATAGGATGTCTTTAGACTGGTAGAACTAAAAACTCTCCATCTTGAAGCACCCAGGAAAGATGTCTATTGGGGTCTTATGGCATCAAGACCCTCTTATTCTATATAATAGTCAATTTGCTTGGTTTGATTCATGCAAAAACTGCTGTTTGAGAGCCTTTTTCTGAAATACTGACTACTGTCCAGAGCAGGTAGCAGAATGTAACTTCCATAGAAATGTTTTAGTCTTGTTTCATCAAGTCATCATTGTTATATTTGCTGGGCTAGCAAGTTAGCAAGAATATGAACTTTTGACTGAAAGAGGTAGCAGAATAAGACTCTCCATTTATGACATGGATGTCTTCTATTCCTGCATGCAAATCTGTTTAGCTAGCTAGCAGACTGACATTCTGGACAGTTCTTCCCTGTTTGATATCACTCTGCATATTAAAAGTTTATATAGTTAGAGAAGAAAGCAATTATTAAATACTGCTATCATGGGTCTTTAACACTTCCTAGTATTTCTAGCATTTTATTTTAAGAGGTACCAACAGAAGAGAATATGCACTGAAGATGTTACCTAGCCAGGTAATGAAATGTTGGCAAGAAAACAGCCAAGCTCAGAAAATTCCAGGGACACCACATATTTTAAGAGGGCCTATTCCATTCTGTTCCAGCTTTTATTCTGGAACAAAACAATGGGTAATACCAGATTCAGAATGGAATCCATTGTTTATGGGTAAAGACTGCATTCACGGTGGAAACCCTATTCAGATCAGAAATGAGGATTATCATACTATTCTTCCTCACGTATGTAGGAGATGAGGAACTCATCTGTTGTCCTGTAAGAAAAGGCCCAATTTAAAAATACACTTTGGTTTGCCCTTTTCTTTTTCACTACCAATAATCCTTGGCATTCCTTGCTGACCCAAGGAGGGGTATTCTGCACAATGTTCCCAAAAAGAGACAATCCCCCCATTCATTCATTCATTCATTCATTCATTCATCAGAATTCCTTGGCCTCAGCAGTTGCAAAGAAATAGAACAAAGGCCCATGGAATCAGTAATTTGTTTATTATATGCTGCCAAATCAGGACAATTCATAGTGAATTAGAAGCAAATCAAAACAAAATGCGATAAAACTACAGCAATTACATGATCCAATAAAACACTGATCATAGGTGCCAGGCCTTCCAAAATGATGTCAAGGTAGAATGTGCCAACCAGGCTTCTAAGAGGGGCTGTTCCAAAAGGGGGCAATTACTACTGAAGAGTATTGCTGCTGATTACACTATCTAAATTCGTTAAATTCAGGCAGTTTAGTAGGAATTTGGGGGGGGGGGTAGATTTTGAACTTTGAAGGTTAAGAATTTAAAGGTAGTAGCCCTTTTTTTTTTTTTTTTTTTGAGAAAGCTAATTTGACCCAGTATATTAAATGTTGCTCTAATCTAATTAAATGCAAGATTTTTGAATTTGGTAGCAGTCTTCGACTTAAAGGAGAACTAAAACAAAAACTTCCAGAGTCGGGATGTAGACTATCTATGCTCCTTTAGTACGCAGGTGCCTTAGCATCCTACCTTTAGACTCTTAAGCGGTCGCAGGTAACTGATGCAAGCAAGCTTTTCAGGAACTGAAAAATAGGAGGAAGTGAAAATGAAACAATGCTCGTCCCGCGGGAAAAAAAAGAGGGAATCGGTCGTTCAGGAAAGGGATCTAGAGAGCTGCGCAGGATCAGTTCTGGTTACTATTTAGAGCGCGACCATCTGGAAAACTAGGCCAGATTGAGAAATCAAAAGCATAGAGAGCAATGGCAACTCATTTTGGTCTCCGGCTAAGAAAACTGCGTGGATATGTCCGTTTAAATTGCCAAGAGTCAAGCGCCATTCGAAGACGACTTTGCCTGTTCTTTAGCTTCCTGGCATGTCTCGGTGGTGTTCCTCGTCCGGCAGGTACCGAAGCAAAAGCGAACTGCAAAACCCTGTGGGCAGTTCCGCGCCTAACGTATGGCCAAGGCGGCGGGGGCGCAGGCTGCAGAGCGAGGAGCGCGGAAATGGCTTTGCTCCGTCCTCGCTGCTGTTTGGGTGGCGGCGAGGCGAAGGCGCCTCCAGGGCAGATGTAATAGAAGTTGTCGGGCGTGGCAAATGTTGAGACTGGCGGGGGCGGGAGGCAGTCCGCTGTTTGAGGAGGAACGGGGCCGACCGCGACAGACAGCGGACGCAGCTTTGGGCCAGAGAGCCAGCCTCTGGCGGTGAGAGCGCGCACGCCCTCGCTCCTCCGAAGGGCGCTCTCAGAAGCGCCAGCGCATTTTGGAAAATGCCGTTCTCGCCCATAGCAAAAGTAAACTCCTTAACTCGTTCCTCACAGAAACGAGCCCTGAAGCCCGGTCGCGGGTGAAAGGCTTTATTATTCGTTTAAAATCCTAGCCTTTCTTCTCCGCATGGCGCCGAAGGGGACTTTCCAAATTTTAAAGCGACAACGGGAAATTCGCCTGTCACCAGGTGGTGCTGTGGACCTCCGAGAAAGAGACGGAAGCCCTGCGTGTTAATCTGAAAAGGCCCGCAACCCATAGTAATAGTCTGATGCTGCTTAGCTGTTATTTATATTAACTCCTTGTTTAAAGCTACAATAGCCTGGTTTGCCCATAACCCCGAACCATAAATCATGAATTACAACCTCAGGGGTTATGTTCATACATCATTTAATCAAACCCAGCCTCAAAGTACAGGTATTACCTTGATCTTTCCTTTAGTTTTGGCAAAACCACATATGCTACTCATTCATTAGGGTGAAATTAATTTACAGGTGTACCTTTTACAAGGGACGCTTCATTCCTGGTGGGGGAGGTGTTGGTCAAATGAGTGTTATAAGGAGATTTGTAGACTGCAGATGAAATGTTACAAACTGCTGATTACTGGCTTAAATTTAGTAAGTTGGTTGTCTTGTCCTCTGACATCTCCACAGGGGCTGGATTCACACATTCTATTAAGCCAGATCTGGGGTGCCCAGATGAGTTTTCTGGGTCTCTTTACTGTCATACTGCACTGGTGCCAATTAAGACTCTTCATTGAAATATTGTAGCTGGACCACATTTGTTCCTGTTATGCTGGGGAAGAGGGAGAGACTCAACTGTTATTAGCTGAGGAAGAACAAACAACTATCCATCATAGCAATATTGAATTTGCTTGTTATTACACAGTCTACAGATATTGTGTCATCTGGACTGTGTAATTCCTAGTTGCCAAATTATGGCTCACTCCAGAAGTCGTCAATTTTCCACTTAGTCTTTTTGGCCTCTAATTGTTCTCCATCTCTTCCCATTGAACCACTGCTGTTTCCTGAAGAAATGGGAGGGGGGAAGAGGCAGAAGAAGAAGGTACCATTAATCATAATAATCTACAGTCCATTTTTTTTTTTTTTGGTGAAGAATCCTTGGAAGTAAGCATGTCACGTCAGAAGACAGCAGAGTTAGGTGCAAATGTGATACTTCTATGTGAAATCTCTGGTTACCCTGGTCCAGAACTGGATATCAACAAAACAGCTGTCATCTGGTATTTGAAGACATCTGAAGAGGGTAAAATAGAAACACTTTATTCAGTTATTGCTGGAGACCATTATTCAAACAGAACTGGTTCGAGACTGGATACAGTTCAGTTAAAAAATGGCAATGCCTCCCTTTTCCTTCCACAAATACAGATTAATGAAGAGGGTAAATATATTTGTTTTGTGACTGTTACTCCGGTTAAAGCTGAAGGAGCCACCATTTTAGATCTAGTTGGTAAGTGACGTTTGTGGTATACCTTTGTAAAAAGCGAGCTTGTTATTTTGGAATTCTTAAACTGTATGAAGATTTACCTGAATGCCAGGCTTACAAAACTGTATTCCAAACTTCTTCCTCTCATGAAGAAGACCCCATTTAGAACTTTGTAGGAATGATTTGGAAAGAGGGAGATAGAAAAAGAGGAATGCCCCTCATTATTTCTTCATTTTATATTGCCTAATCAAAATGCCAGTTTGGTGTAGTGGTTAAGGCATCAGGCTATAAACCAGGAGGCCGTGAGTTCTAGTCCCACTTTAGGCACAAAGCCAGTTGGGTGACCTTGGGCCAGTCACTTTCTCTCAGCCCTAAGAAGGAGGCAATGGCAAACCACAAACCACTTCTGAAATCTTGGCAAGAAAGCTGCAGGGACTTGTCCAGGCAGTTGCCAAGAGCCAACATTGCCTCACAGGGGCACATACACATACAATCTAAAGTGGCTTCTCTCCTTAAAAGGGCACTCTTGTGTACAATGAAAGAGTACAATTGTCTTACTGAAAATGGAGCCTGCTCAGGCTCTTACACAATAAGTAAAACTTGCAACAAAATGTTGCAGTGTGGACTGCTTCTGTTCAAGTTTCTGGCCAGCCATGCTGTCTTTCATTCTTGTTCACTTTTCCCATTTCATTTAACCAGAACATAAAGGTGTCCTAATAACACTTATTATTAGGGCACATAGTTAGTCGCAATCAGGCAGTGCTTACATTGAATTAAACAAAGAAATACCATTTTCTTGATCATATCCCCATGATATTGCCTTCATCCCTTGAATGAGACAGGCTTAGGATGTCCTCAGCCTTACTGATATATTTTTTTAAAAACTTTCCTTAAGCTGAAAGGTCTAAGGGATGTAAAACTGATGAGGCTTTGCTACCTGCTACATTGGAGGCAAGGCTGGGTGATCAGCAAGTAGGGTCAGAGAGATATTCATTGGAAGTTTCAAGGTGATCCAGACACATCCTCTTCCATCTTCACTGAGCCCTGGTTGGCCTTGTCTGCCACTATTCTGCTGTTATCTCCTTAAAGAGTTAGATATAGTGTGCATGAAGCATAACACAAAAATTAAAACTATTTGGTGGGGTTTGAATGGTGTAACAGTGAAATGGCATAACAGGTTGAAATAGCATAACACTAGGGACCAAGGCCTCCTGAACAAAACCTGGAGGAATCTGGAAATCAACTTTTGTTGCCTTTAAAAGAAAGGAGAGTTAGAGAATTCCTAAATAAAAATGTTGCTTGTGATTCTGGTCCTTTGTGACTCTGATTTTTTAATTTTTAAATTAAACTTGGATTAGGACAGAATGGGGTACAGGAAGAAGCCTAGAGATGATGACCATTCCTGCTGCTCTACTGTGATGTGTGGTTGCTTGTCAGCCATATAAGGTAGACCAGAAACAGACACTGTGGGGCCTAAAGCTACTTTTATTAGAACAGCTACATTAACAGACTCTTGCAAGTCTGAATGGTCTTCCCTTCTTCCCTCTTTAATCTTCATGTGAATTAAGGGGGAGAGGGCTTTCTGAGGTCTGGGCTCAAGCCTCATTTATCTGATCGTTGCCTTGATAACAGATCTTTCCTCTGTCCTTCAAGGCCATCCTTACATTCACTACAATGCTTTCCCAGCTAGCTGCTTTTTTTTTTTTTTTTAAATCACCTTCTTTTTAAACAGTCTTTGCCAAAATTCCTACATGTATACCCATCATGCTATTCCCTTTTGGGATAAGTAACACTGTGCAAAGTACAGAAAAGGAAAAGAAATATTAAGCAAAAGAAATTACTATAAAGGTATGGAAATTTTAAAAAGGAAATATGACTAAAACTAATTTATACCTATACCATTCACTAAACCTCTCCATATCTTTCTATCCTTCCAAAACAACCTTCTTTCCACCACATCCCTACACTGATTCATACTTTGCCTTTTATCTCTTTTCTTTTCTTTTCTTTTCTTTTCTTTTCTTTTCTTTTCTTTTCTTT